GGTGAAGCCGGTGAAAGATTTAGACGAGACAAATTTAAAGCTTATGAAAGATATTGAGGAATTGAAATCAAAGATTAGCACCATGGATTCTGAGCTAGTTAAGGTCAGTACGTATTATATCATCATAGCTAAGTTAAGGTCAGTACTGTATTATGTCATCAGAATTTCAGATGTGAATGTGCTTTGAAGCTGCATATAGTTTCTTTTTTTTTTTTTTTGGAATATTAAGAACTATTTATTAACCTCAGATGTTTGTATGTAATTATTGCTTTACGGACTACAGAGATTAATGTGGGATTAGTATAATGAATATTGTGCTTGTACTATAGTATTTATATCAATTTTGAGTTCCTAATGTATAGTGTAATTGATGCTGAATGATTAATTTCAATTTGACGGGAATTCAAATTAATTGTTATTGTATGCTCTTTTGCAGGCAAAATACATGATTGAGAAGTTGAAAGAGGAAAAGAGCAACACCATCCGTGAGAAGGAATTGTTAAAGCAGGAATTGGTGGGTGAACGAACATGCTACTCTAATTTCTTTTCGGGTTACTTGCAAAAGTGTTACCCCTGAGCTTTAGTCATATTAGCAAGAAAATGAAAAGAAATCAATCTTTCAAGATTGTAAATCTTTCTTTTAAAATGATAAAACCCTTAACAGATGTTTGTAAATTAGAGTGTTCATAAGTTGAAACACAATAATCGGTTGTTTCTGTGATCAGGTCGAGCCTCGAGAGTAGTTCTGTGTGTTTTCAACAAATGGATCTTCCAAATCATAATGCTATTTCTTTTCATTATTGATGTAGTTTAAGCAAAGTAATAGTGATTGCATGAAACATAACAAGTTTGCGAGGCTCAAACTGAGAAAATTTGGTTTCCTCTATGCAGGCTACATCAAGGACGGGGACCGTTGTAAGAAAAGTCAGAGCCGGTTTCCCGCCACTGTTCGTGTGCATGGTGGCACTGATTAGTCTGGTGATTGGGTTATTGCTTCGAGCTTAATGCACTAAGTACTTTCAGCTCGATTCAGCAAGTTCAAAGTGTTTTTTACTTTGAAAGACAGAATCATGTTGTCACCGGGTATAGAACACAGGTCCATGGTTTTAACAGAGGTATCTAGTATTATGCTTGTCGATAACATTCAGTACAAATTATCCCAACTTTATGAATGTAAAAAGAACTGATTTTTTTTACCAAATAAAAGAGGGAATAGATTATTAGGCTTTTGGTCGTCTGCCCATGAAATTGTGTTGGGAACAGTTTAGTAAATTACTTGGTTTATGAAAACCTGTTGAATTTACTTGCCATATTGATTTACGTAGTTGTATCTGAACGTCTTTTAATGAAATACAGTAAACTGTGTTCGTTTTTTTTTTAATTATTATTTTATTCCAATGGTCTCATTTTACTTCGATGCTTGGATCCCAACGGGTTTTGGAGAATAGAGAGTTGTTTTCGTCCAACTTGATTTTTCTACTTCTGCCGTAATTTTGCTATTCATTCAGAATATATTTGTGCACGGGATGGATATCGTCAGTCAAATTAATATTTAGTGAGAAGATGGATTGATGTGATTCCGTCATACGTCCTTCTAATGATGGATTGCTATTCATTCAGAACATATTCGTGTTTGCATCATTGCATGATTAGCTACTTCGGCATAATTTTATTATAGCCCGCTTTCCCGGACTTGATTCTCGAAGGAGCATAAGAGTTTAAATCTGTTCTTTTACTTTGTTTATAATCAATTTAGTGACATCTTACAGTCCATCTTACGGAATCAGTTTTCTGCAAGAAGTCCATTTTTATTGAACAATTACATTGTAAAGATCTCCCTTGTATCTAAATGCATAGTTCTCCAAACCTAACTGTTAAGTTCCTTTGTTTGAATGTGGAGTTTTCGGAACAATCATGTCTTCGAAGTTGAATGTCAACTTCTGGGGTTTAATAATCCTTTTGTGTCAAACTTCCTATGTAAAAAAATAAAAAAATGCAGAGTTTCCCGCAATAAGCTTCAAGGTTTGTGGCTTCGTAGTCGTGTTACATTTTTGAGCTTCGTGTTCGTGGTCACATGTATTAAATTTGATTACTTTTAGGCTATGTTTGGTAAAACTAACTGATAAGCTAGATGATATCTGATAATCTAACTTATAATTTATCATTAATTAGTACAATACCTGTGTACTACACACACGGGCGTTTAGTTAAGAAATATATGATAAAATTTATTGTTAAAGTAAATTTTTATTTAAAAAGTGATGGACTAATTGGTGAAAAATTAAAGAGGAATACAAAATGCAAAAAGTGATTTGCAAATCATAATTTATGGGAGAAATATGAGAGGAAATTATAATATGGTAAGATTGCTTATTGCCCAAACTAAGAAGGAAATGCGTACCCAGAGTAAAAAATAATATAATTAAATATACACTTACCGAGTCAGAAAAAGTTATTTATATTTAATACCATGCCTAACTACAGAGCAAAATTGAATATATAAACAACATTACAAAGCACAGATTTTCGCCATGTCAGCATCTGAAGCGAGCTTGCCACTTAGGCTCGGCACGTTTTGAGCTAATATATAGGGAGGAATTTTCGAACTTATAACATATAGCTTATAACTTATAGCCGAAAAGCTAGCTTATATGATAAAAGTGTCTTGTAAAATTAGTTGAAAAGCTAGTTGAAATAAAAATTTCAACGAGTTTATTAGAAAAGCTACTCAAAGAAGCTTATCAAATAAGCTCGAGTTTTTTTTAAAAAAGGTCGTCCTACCAAACGGGAATTATTTGAATACATGGAGCTTATAAGCGAACCAAATAAACTATTAGCTACTTTATTTGTCTACCAAACATAACCTTAATAATGTGTTAATTTAAAGTGTTTTGATGCAATCTACTTAGGATTGGACTTTTGTCTACATCTACAATGTTAGAGTTAAAACAATACGAAATTTTAAAAGAATTTAAAAAATTTAAAACTTCTAGTTTCGAGAGTATAAATATGTTAAATGACAAAAATATAAATTCACTAAATAACAAACATGCAAGTTGTTAAGAAGTACAAAAAATTTATATGCAAGTTATTTATTCTTTTTAATTTTGTTTATACATAAATATTAGAATTTTATTAATTTTTTTGTCCGGTTCTATGATCTGGTCACCCAACAAACTTCGAAGCCGGTCTAAAACATGGTTGCCCAAAGCAGCAAAGTAGCAAACACAGTAACACACACATTGCATATTGTATAAACTGCAAAAGTTCTGCTGGCCCCAAACAGACCAAAAGATACTAAATAAAGGCAGGCAAAAATGACAGGAAGACAATATAACAAGGTTTACCAGCTATTGCCGTTATGTTCCCGAGCCAAACGCTTAGTTTCAGATTTAAAATAAATAATAATAAAAAAATATCAAAATCAAAATCCTAAGACCATCGTTCAAACAACAACATCAATACGCTCAAATTCTATCAACGACAAATTGTTACTCTCGTCCACAGAGAAACTGGCAGGTTCACCCGCTTCAACCCGGCCGAAACGATCAACGGCCAGCCTCATTGATCCCTTGAACATCTCGATTTTTGCATTCGAGAGGACAAGGGTGTTTCCCTCTTTAGCCAGATCCACTAGAACAAACCAAAATTTATTTAGTGTAAGTGCAATGTATAACAACAACAACAACAACAACAACAACAACAACAATATTCCAATTTTACTCTCGGCAGAAACTTTTAACTCCTGGATAAGTCCTAGGTTTGCAATGTATTTTGGAAATGACCTAAATATAGAGAAAAATACCAAGTCTATATATTTAGAAGAATACTGCACAAGAACTAAAATCATGGTGACAAAGCCACAATATGATTTGGTGAATAAACAAAGGTTTTTAAAGCTTGGCGAGCTTAGAAAATCACATCTTAATTTTAATGTTTGAATCACAATAAACCTAAAAGGCTATGCCACAAACATCACGACAACATTTACAATTTTAATCTGATTAAAGATCATTACATGTTGGAGATCGAATAATATTTCCAAACCAGGGGTAAATTTCTAACGTAGAAAAATATATTTCTTTATTCAACACCCGCAAACTCAACGCCCTGTAATTTCCAACTTCAAATCTGAACCAAAAGTTCCATTTCATCGATTGAATTGAACTCAATAATTTAAATCAATAGCCTTGCAGAATCTTTCCCACCAAATTCTGGTAATCAAAAACCAAGAGAACTTCACTTAGCCCAATACTACACTTCACTACTTAATAATGTTAAGGCCAGTTGTCCCGCATCCATAATACAGATTTAGATCATGGTAACATGTTAGGCTCAATTCAACTGCAACTTCAAATATTTATAAAAGCAAAAAGTTCTCTACTTTCAGTAACCTGTACAGCAGAAAAATAAAAGGAGTAGATATGGACCTTGATCATTTCTGGCGGGAAAAATGATAATTCCCGTCTCGTCCCCAACTAAGCATTCAGAAAACCGTGCTTGGTTTCGGCCTCTTTGTGCTACCGTCTTTGCATTGACAACCTTAACTGTTATATTAAGGCCAGCGTCCAACGGGCGCAGCTTGTTGACCTTGGTCATGTCAGCCATATTTCCTCTCTCTTCTTTATATGTCTTATTCACAATGTAGGTGGTATCTTAAGGTTCTACAAGAAATTCGAAAAATTACAGAGTAAGGTCTAACCCAGGTGAAAATTTATTCAGAATCAAATACAAAAAACGGACATCAAGTAATTGATAGTGTTCAGCTAAATGCCGATGAAATTAGATTTCTCTAGTTAGATTTGACGGCTTCAATTCCGATTGATCGTAAATAATTTATAAAAGCACATCATATAAATCTGGAAATCAGTTTCGTTGTGTTTGACCAAATCCAGATTAAAACCCATCCAAGTTAAATCAGAAATCTTTTGCTACAGATGGACATATGCAACAGATCAGAAAAAGGGCATAAAATCAAGTATCAAAAATCCACTCAGTTCTTCAATCAGACAATCACAAGAGCATAGTTCGAGATGGCGACAAAAAAAAAAAAAAAA